CACAACACACAACAACAACAACAACACACACACACACACACACACACACACACACACACACACAAATTACGTTCAGAAATGCATCCGTAGTATCTATAGATTACGTACAATGCCATTCAATAGATCTGTTCCTTTTAGCAGTCTAGTGTAAGAAAGATAAACTGTGAACTATTCGTAAATAATAAACGTGGTAATATCGCGAATCCACGAATGTTTTCGTGATATTCCCTCCGCGCCGCGTCGCCGAGCGCCAACGCGCCCCGCATCGCACCACGCGCCGTATCACGGAGTGTCAATGCTTCCTGCGCCGCACCGATACCGCGTCATGAAAGCGAGCAAGCGCCCCGCACTGATACCTCACCACCGAACTCTTCTCCTACTACAATCCATCCCCACTTCGATTCCTTATCTATCCCAAAGAGCCTATCATCCGTATTCCTTTTTTCCGATTCTGTGAAAGAAGATACATCTCTCGAGATCGACCAATCCGACCGATCTGAAAAATACCGAGGTCGGATTTCGGATATAAAAAGGCATCGCTCTCCACAGAAGATCAAATAAGAAGAGAGAGTGTGCGTTACGGCGGGGCCCGACTACGAACCAGTCGTGAAAACTCGTAATTATTTTGCGAAAAAATACCACCTCAGGAACCTGGATCTCCTGCTTACCGGGCAGGCATCTTATTCCTTCGACTACCGAGGCATGTGATGATATTTATCGCAAATAACGTATTTAGAATAACACGTCAACAATACAATGATACATATATATATACGCATATTACAATATACATATATACATGTAGTCTTTCGAATCCCTCCGTTCTATTCTCGGCTCTTGAGAGCAAGTCCTTGCAAGAGATTTACACTGAAAAAGCCGAGTACCCGAACACGGCGAAAGTTAGAGCCTTTTTGGGGTCTCCCCAACGCACCAAATCCGCTTAACCAGGCCGAACCGCCTCCTCATTCTTCCGCCATCCGCATCCGTATCCGATAACCACCGAGAGATACTGGAGGTTTCCCCACGTCAAGTACGCTTGACCGCCACCGCATCTTACTATCCGTACCCGGTTATGCCGAAAGATACTGGGGCCTCCCCAATATGCTAAATACGCTTAGTGCGGCTCCGCCGAATTCCGCCGCTGAGTATCGGAGCTCTTCCCGATACGACAGCGCGATCAATCCACCATCTATCAAGTACTGGGGCCCACCCCAGTCAATCGAATACGCTCAGAGTAGCAATATAAGGCCGGTTCTAACTCGGGAGTTCCGAGAAGGGTATGAGGTTCCGAGGGGCAGAGGAGTTGACGCGGGGCGGCACTCCATAAGCGATGGGTGCGGAATTTGCGAGGCAAGAGAGGAGGGAAGTCACTATCCGCGAAGCGAGGGGTCCTCGGCATGACGTCACACGGTACGGGTTCTGTCGCCAGCTGCTGCCGTTCGCCGCCGCCGTCCGCCGCCATGTTCTTTCTTTTCTCTAGTTTTTCTTCTCTCTTCCTTCCTCTTTTCTTATGCGTTCTCTCTTTTCCCATCAAGGTATCTCATTTTGTCTTAATATTTTCTGTAATTTGAATTTTTTAATATTTAATTTATTTTTTTAAAAAGAAGTATTTTAAAAAAATATAAAATATTAGTTTTCAAATTCAAATTTATTATTATGGTTGATATTATTATTATTCGCGATAAGATGCGTCAGCACGCGCTATCGCAACGCAACCTGAAACCGCTAACGCTGAATTGAAAGGAAGAATGGAGAATAAACCGAGTAATATTTATCGTAATATATATTTATTGGTCATGTAATGCATAATGGACAATATTATCTATAGCGTACGTTAATAATTTACAATTTATAATTGAAGTTTTGTTCTTAATTTTAAAACGTCTCTATCTTCGCGTCGATCGGTTTTTGCAGGATAGCGTCGGTCGGATATGGTCAGGATTCGGTACGAGAAATAAAATATCGTGTCTCTTTATATATCTCGGTTTATATTTACAATGCCGACTGGCGGTGGTTTTTGTATGTACAGTATTTACATGTACCTTTCGGTATTTCGCCGTTGGTACGGCGAAAAGACGCGGTTTCTAAGTATTATATACTCGCTCGGCTCGCGGTCGGTTCTCCGAATTCGGCGCGTTCCTCGATAGGCGCGGCGCGGGCGCGAAGGCGCGCGGGGGTTCGGCCGTCTTGTTTTGACGGATCAGCTGTGTGTAGTGCTATGACGGATCAGCTGTGTGTAGTGCTATGACGGATCAGCTGTGTGTAATGCTATGACGGCTCGAATGCAGGAAGCTCCCTGCTTCTCGATCGTCAGAGGAAGATG